TACTTGTTAGGCGAAAAAATAGTAGGGCAGAGAGGTTTTTACTGCCTACTGATCTAAAAAAGCCCCGATTGTAAATTCTCTTTAATTAATAGGATGATGTATTGCTTTCGCATTTATTTATCATATAATCAATAATAAATCCATTTTAATTTTGATACAGTTTGTAATATTTAAACTTAATTTCTTATTGATACATAATCAATATTTACTTACTTCAACAAAATAGCTAGTAAAATTTTTAATTTATTCTATTGATATTTCATTTGTTTATTTATTTATTTATTTATTTATTTATTTATTTATTTATTTTTGTTATAGTGAGTAAAATATTTGAATGATTTTAAATAAGAAGACAAAGAAATATTCTAAATAGCATGTAAAGATTTATGTTAAATGGCACTCTAAAATAAATACTAAATTATTTTATTTGAATTATAGAAAGTATAATCATTGAGTGATTTTTTATCAGAATATTCTAAAATATCTTTAAATTTATAATAAGCGATTGGTATATTTTCATTTTAGTATTTTGAAACATTCAAATAAAATGACTTAAATAGGAACAAGTAATGAATGATCAATCTAGTTATCCTCTTGGCTTGATATTTATTATATTTGGTTTTATTAAAAATAAATAATAAATAGACAGTAATTTTTTTTAATAACATTTCATCATCTTAGCAAGATTGACTTTACAATAAATTAAAATTAATAAAATAGAATGTAACAATAATATAATTCAATTCTAATTCAATAATACAAATTAAAACTTAAAATAGTGGGTAATTTTTTTACAAAATTATATCAAGAGATATCTATTTTCTTTTCTTATTTAAAAAAGCAAGTAACAAACGCATAATTATTTGTTGTTCTAACTTTACAAACCACAAATTACTTTTAAATTTAAACAGAGCGTAACTTTCTTTATAAAATTTATTATAAAATTTCAATATTTTTTTTACCAAAACAAACAGCTAGTAATATTCCTTCCTTTATTTATTAAAATATCAAACATATTTCATATTTTAATAGCATGTAAACTTTTATACTGTTCCTTAAAATATTAAACATATTTTACTTTACTATATTAATAAGTGGGTAATTTTATCATCTTATAGTAGATCTTCTTCGAATTTTTTACAACCTTAATAGAGAGTTATTTTTATAAAATTTTTATAATTATCAGATTTTCAATCAACTTTTAAATTTAAAATAGGGAGTAATTAATATTTTAGAATTATTTTTGATAAGAATACAAAAGCTGAATTAACTTTCATATTCAACATAGGATGTAATTAATATTTTACAAAGATTTTTGATAAGAAAATAAATGCTGAATTTACTTTCATTTTCAAAATAGCAAGTAATTAATATTTTAGAAAGACTTTTGATGAGAAAATAAATGCTGAATTAACTATCTTTCAAATTCAAAATAGCGAGTAATTAATATTTTAGAATGATTTTTGATGAGAAAATAAATGCTGAATTTACTTTCATATTCAAAATAGTAGGTAATTAATATTTTAGAATGATTTTTGATGAGAAAATAAATGCTGAATTAACTATCTTTCAAATTCAAAATAGCGAGTAATTAACATTTTAGAATAATTTTTGATGAGAAAATAAATGCTGAATTAACTTTCATATTCAAAATAGCGAGTAATTAATTAATATTTTTAATTATTTTTGATGAAAAAATAAATGCTGAATTAACTAACTTTCATATTCAAAATAGGGAGTAATTTATATTTTAGAATGATTTTTGATGAGAAAATAAATGCTGAATTAACTTTCTAATTCAAAATAGCTTGTAATTAATTAATATTTTAGAATGATTTTTGAGGAGAAAATAAATTCTGAATTAACTTTCATATTCAAAATAGCAAGTAATTAATATTTTAGAATGATTTTTGATGAGAAAATAAATGCTGAATTAACTAACTTTCATATTCAAAATAGCTAGTAATTAATTAATATTTTAGAATGATTTTTGATGAGAAAATAAATGCTGAATTAACTTTCATATTCAAAATAGACAGTAATTAATATTTTAGAATGATTTTTGATGAGAAAATAATTGCTGAATTATTCAAAATAGATAGTAATTAATATTTTAGAATGATTTTTGATGAGAAAATAAATGCTTAATTAACTTTCATATTCAAAATAGCTTGTAATTAATTAATATTTTAGAATAATTTTTGATGAGAAAATAAATGCTGAATTAATTTTCATATTCAAAATAGTATGTAATTAATATTCTAGAATGATTTTTGTTGAGAAAATAAATGCTGAATTAACTAACTTTGATATTCAAAATAGCAAGTAATTAATATTTTAGAATAATTTTTGATGAGAAAATAAATGCTGAATTAACTAACTTTAATATTCAAAATAATTAGATAGTAATTAAAATCTTAGAATGTATTTTGATATGAAAACAAAATCTAAATATAAAATAGTGAGTAAAATTTAATAAGTTGATAATTAGAAAATTAAGTGAACTTTTGAAAAACAGATGGTAATTATTAGTAGAAGATAAATAAGACAGATAGAAAATAAATTGAATTTTGAATATACATACAGTGAGTAATATTTTAGAAGAATATTTTTGATAGAGAATCTTATTAATATGTATGAAATAGATAGTAATATTTTTGAAAGTTACTATATAATATATAGTAAGGGTTAATTTTAATATGAAAACAGTGAGTAAGAGTTATGAAAATAATTGAAAAAATGTAACTAAGTAACTAACTAACTAACTAACTATGTTAATTCTAAACTAGATTGTAAAATATTTAAGCGATTGAAAAAGAATATAAAAAAAATATAAAATAATAATAGATTGTATATTTTAAATAATTTTGGAAGTAATACAATCAAGAAATGTTTTAATTAAAACAGCTGGTAATAATTAATTAATTAATCCTATAAGAAATCAAGATATGATAATCTACAACTTACTTATTATTAAGAAAGTAAAATTATTTATAGAAAAGTAAATTTTCTTACTAAACCTTGGAATAAAATATATAGGGTATATATATATAACGCATTGAAAGTTTTTATTACAAATAAACAAGATTTAATAAACGTGTATAAAAATATTAGAAGGTAATTCATTAATTAATAAATTTTTTTACAAATAAATTTATAAATTTCATTTAATTGAAAAACTTAATTTAAAAAAACAATCAAATGTAAATCATTTTTTTGCTTTAAAAAAGTGATGAGCCAGCCACATAATATTTGTTAGATTCAGGAGACACAGTTTACGAAATCAGAAATAGAATTTTTGTTTGTTTGTTTATTATAAATAAAATATTCACTTGAATTATTATTAGCAAATATTAAAAATAAAATGAATTTGAGAAATATATTTTTATGTTTTCTATATTGATTGTAGCTTCAACTTTTAATTTCTTTTTTTTTTTTATAATATGAAAAAAAAATCAATTATTAAGTTTTTATTTTTAAATATTTTTTATTAGCCAAATAAATAACTTAATTTATAAATAATTATTTTTAATTGTTTTTAATTTAATTTAAATATTTATTTAAAATATTTTTTTTTTTTTGAAATAAAAGAACAATTTCATATTGATAATATGTAAATAAGTGTTTAATTAATGCTTTAAAAAATCGAGATATTACTAGTTTTGGAAATTAAAAATTTCCATTCAAACAAAGTATATTTGTGATCCAATTTCAAGTAATATGTTAAATAGTTGCAAAATTTAACTTTTAACATTTGATTTATTATTTATTAATTTACTTATTTAGTTTCAGTAAATAAAACTCATTAATAGATAAAGTTTAAAAAAGAGTAAAAAATTTGATTTTTCATCATCTTCTTCTTATTGAATAAAAATTAGTAAATCTAAATATTTATTTAGAAGAATTTAAAACAAATAAAAAAAAGGTGGTATCGGAATAGGTCTGTACTTGACAAAAGCAAAAAAATTTTCATTAAAAATTTCGGTTTTAGCTGAAAAAAATTTTAAACCATTATTCTTAGACCTCTATTAATATAAATAAATCACTAAATTTGGAATATTGTAAATTACTTAAAGAGGGGAAATTTACACTATTTTAATTTACTCTCACTATAACTCTATATCAAAATGTTGTTTATTTATCTTATAAGTTGAAATAACATTTTTAATCAACTCAGAAGTAAACTAAGTCTTTTAATTTCATTTATTTTTTTAAAGCATAATTAATTATATGCGATTTAGTAAAATAATTATAAAAAGCTTCTACAAAACCAAATTTAATTGATCTCTTTTTAGTAGTATAAATTATAATTTTTTGTTTGCTTTTTATTAATGTTTAAGGGAATTCATATAATGATTTCAATTACTTTGCTTATACATTTTGTTCTTGTTACTAAGTTTGTAATTGAAATTTTAGTTGGTAATTTTATTTTTTTTGCAGTAGCTCTTTATTTATAACATTCTTCGAAATTAGGTTGAAATAATTTTAATTTATTTTTCAGTTTCTTCTCTTTAAATTAAAATTTTTAACAAAAAATCTTAACTCAATTTTTAGCTTTCAATTTTATATTAATTTGATATGGATTAGATAGACTATTTCTTGATTAGTAAAAGCTTGTTCACATGGCATAATTTTAAATTTGATTTCGATAGGTGTCAAATTATAGGATCTGTTTAGTTAAGAATTATTAATAAGTAATTTAGGTTTTGGTAGCATTTTTTTATTATTTTTTATAATTTTATTTTATTTAATTGATTATAAAAATATAGTTTTATTCTTTATTTACTATCTTTACTATTTTTAATATTATATATATATATATATTAATAGTACCATAGGGCAATACCTTTTTCAAGGCTACATACATACATGAACAATAAAAATAATATTAAATAATCAATATCTCTATATTTTAGGCTAAATTATCTTATTAAAATATATTATATAATAAGACATATCATTTTCGATTATTCAAAAATATTATATTTGTTCATTCTTTTTCAATACATATTGAAATCAAATTCAAAGACAACTAATCTTTTTGATTTAAGACACTTGTTTTTTACTGTTAATTAGTATGATTCATTGATTTAGTTGCCACTTTTATATTTATTATATTGATTAAAATAAAATACTAATAGAAATTAAATAAAATAAAATTATTTATTAAAAATTAAATTTAAAATTAATAAATAGAAAAAACATTAACAGAATAAAAAAGAAAAAGAAAAATTAATCAAATAAAAAGCAAATAAACTAATTAAAAAAGTTAGTTAGTTATATTTTTTTAAATTCATTCTATTAAGTAAAAATATCACAATCAAAAACAAAAAAATTGTTTTTACCCTATATAAAGTGCCAAATTTAAAAGATTAGTGCAATTTGCTAAAGAAGAACCTAAGCCTGATGCACCTTAATCATCAATTAAACTTTAACTTTTTAATTATGAAGAAAAAATATAAAATTAATTAATTAGTTATTTAGAAGGAAAAAATGAAGAAATTTTTTGAAATAACAAGAAATTAATCAATTAATAAATAAATAATAAAAGCATGAAAAATATCATAACCTAAAATAAATAAATAAACTGTTTTTACCCTAGACCAAGTGTCAAATTTGAGAGTTTAGCAAAATTTGCTAAAGCAGAACCTAAGCCTGATGCACCTTAAGCACCAATTTAATTTTAACTTTTTAAATTTTGAAGAAAAAATATATAATTAATAAGTTGTTTAGACAGAAAAAATGAAGAAAAAATATGAAATAATAAGAAATTAATTAATAAATAAATAATAAAAGCTAATCTTGAAAATAAACAAATGAGTTAAATTAAGAAAGATAGAAGAAGAAAAAAAGATAAATAAAATAAAAACAAAAAGAAAAAGAAAAGGATATCAAATAAACAGCTAATAAACGAAGTTATTTTGTTATAAATTCATTTTAATAATGAAGAATATCATAACCCAAAATAAATAAACTGTTTTTACCCTAGTCCAAGTGTCAAATTTGAGAGGTTAGTGCAATTTACTAAAGCAGAACCTAAGCTTGATGCACCTGTTGCACCAATTTAATTGCTACTTTTTAAATTTTGAAGAAAAAATAAATAATTAATTAATTGTTGTTTAGACAGAAAAAATGAAGAAAAAATATGAAAAAATAAGAAATGAATTAATAACTAACTAATAAAAGCAAATGCTGAAAATAAAAAGATGAGTTAAATTAAGCAAGATAGAATAAAAAAAAAACAAACAAGTATAATAAAAAATAAAAAGAAAAGTATATCAAATAAATAGTTAGCTAATAAACAAATAAAATAAAAGAGTTAAATTGTTTTAAATTCATTTTAATAAGGAAAAATATTACAATCCAAAACAAATAAATGGTTTTTACCTTAGATTTAGTACCAAATTTGAGAGATTGACGCAATTTGCTAAACCAGAACCCAAACCTGATGCGCCTGTTGCACCAATTTTATTCTAACTTTTTAAATATTGAAGAAAAAATATATAATTAATTAGTTTTTTACTTTGAAGAAAGAAAAAAAATATGAAATAATAAGAAATGAATTAATAAATAAATAATAAAGGCAAATGTTGAAAATAAACAAATAAGTTTAATTAAGAAAGATAAATGAAGATAAAAACATAAGTACAATCAAAAAGAAAAAGTTTTTAATAAAAATCTTATAAACAAATTAATAAGACTTATATTGATTTAAATTCACTTCTAAAAATAAAAATATCGTAATCCAAAACAAATAAACTATTTTTACTCAAGTGAAAGTGTTAAATTTTAGAGATTAGTGCAATTTGCTAAAGCAGAACCTAAGATTGATGCACCTTTTGCATCAATTTAATTAGATCTTTTTAAATATTGAAGAAAAAATATAAAATTAATTATTTAGTTATTTAGAAGGAAAAAATATGAAATTAAAAGAAATGAATTAATAAATGATAAAAGTAAATGTGTAAATAAACAAATGAGTTAAATTAATAAAGATAAATGAAGAAAAAAAAACACAAGTAAAATCAAAAGGAAAAAGGAAAATATATCAAATAAGATATATAAATAAATTAAAAGAATTATTTTTTTTAAATTCATTTTAATAATGTAAAATAACCCAATATAAATAAACTAAATTTACTAAAGACCAAGTGTCAAATTTGAGAGATTAGTGCAATTTGCTAAAGCAGAATCTAAGCCTGATGCACCTGTTGCACCAATTTTATTCCAACTTTTTAAACATTGAAAAAAATAAAAATAATTAATTAGTTACTTAGTAAAAATGAATTAATAAGAATTTAATTAATAAATAAATAAATAATAATGAAAAATTATGAAAATAAACAATTGAGTTAAATTAAGAAAAATAAATAAAGAAAAAAAACACAAGTACGATCAGAAAGAAAAAGTAATCAAATAAAAACCTAATAAACAAATTAATAAGACTAATATTGATTTAAATTCATTTTTATAAATAAGAATTTCACAATCAAAAACAAATAAACTGTTTTTACCCAAGATGAAGTGTCAAATTTGAGAGATTAGTGCAATTTGCTAAACCAGAACCTAAGCCTGATACACTTGTTGCATCAATTTAATTATATCTTTTTAAATATTGCCAAAAAAATTTTAAATTAATTAATTAGTTAGTTATTTAGAAGGAAAAAATAAATGAAGAAAAAATATGAAATATTAAGAAATGAATTAATTAATACATAATAAAAGCAAATTTTGAAAATAAAAAAATGAGTTAAATTAAGAAAGATTGAAGAAGATTAAACACTTGTACAATAAAAAACAAAAGGAAAAGTATATCAAATAAACAGCTAATAAATAAATAAATTAAAAGATTGATACTGTTTTAAATTCATTTTAATAATGAAAAATATCCAAATAAATAAATTAAATTTACTAAAGACCAAGTGTCAAATTTGATAGATTAGTGCAATTTGCTAAAGCAAAACCTAAGCCTAATGCAAACGGTGTATCAATTTAATTAGATCTTTTTAAATATTGATAAAAAAATATATAATTAATAAACTATTTAGAAGGAAAAAATGAAGAAAAAATAACACAAGTACAATAAAAAGAAAAAGTAATCAAATAAAAATCTAATTAACAAATTAAAAAGACTCATATTGATTTAAATTCATTTTTCTAAATAAAAATATTACAATCCAAAACTTATAAACTGTTTTTACCTAAGTAAAAGTGTAAAATTTGAGAGATTAGCGCAATTTGCTAAAGCAGAACCTAAGACTGATGCATCTTTCGCATCAATTTAATTAGATCTTTTTAAATATTGAAGAAAAATATGAAATGATAAGAAATGAATAAATTAATAAATAATAAAAACAAATCTTGAGAAAATAAAGAATTGAATTAAATTAAGAAAGATAAATGAATAAAAAAAACATAGATAAAATTAAAAAGAAAAAGAAATCAAATAAAAAAATTAAAAAGACTTTTATTGATTTAAATTCATTTTTATAAATAAAAATAACACAATCCAAAACCAATAAACTATTTTTACCTAAGTATAAGTGTCAAATTAGAGAGATTAGTGCAATTTGCTAAACCAGAACCTAAGTCTGATGCACCTATTGCATCAATCTAATTAGATCTTTTTAAATATTGAAGAAAAAATATATAATTAATTAGTTATCTAGAAGGAAATAATGGAGAAAAAATATGAAATTATAAGAAATGAATGAATTAATTAATAAATAATAAAAGTAAATGTTGAAAATAAACGAATGAGTTAAATTAAGAAAGATAAATGAAGAAAAAAAACACAAGTACAATCAAAAAGAAAAATAAATCAAATAAAAATCTAATAAACAAATTAAAAAGACTTATATTTATTTAATTAGATTCAATTTTATAAATAAAAATATCACAGTCCAAAATAAATAAACAAACAATTTTTATCAATTAAAAGTTTTAGAAGAAAAAAAATGAATATTTAATACTAAATTATAAAAATGGATGATCAATTAAAAAATTTAAATTGAAAATTAAGTTAAAATAACGAAAAAAAGATTGTTTAATAAAATGAATGAATATAGAAGATGCTTTGTTTTCATAAAATAATATTTTAAATAAAATAAAAGTTAAATATATATTATTAATAAAAAGAATATTAATATTTATTTATTAAATATACCTTAGATCAATATTGAGAGCTTAATGAGATTAAAGTGAAGAGTTTAAAAACTTTTAATATTAGTAAATAAAAATATATAGTATTTTAATATAAAAATTAATAATTAATTACTTCTTCTAATTTCTCGTAATATTTTATCTATTAATTCATTTATTTTTTTACAAAAATAAAAAAAATTTATTTATGGAAATTTGATTAATTATAAATGAAAAAATGTACAAATAAATTTTTGGAATTTATAAATTTGCTTTTCGTAATAGAAATCACAAAAAAGTTAGGATAGCATTCATTATTAAATCTTAATATTTCTATTAAAAATGTGTATTTAAAAATATAGTTGGAACCAGAGATTTTATATAAAGGATAATTATAATGAGAACTTCTACAATAAAATAAATTTTTAACATATATAAATATATTTTTGTAATACAAAATATCCAAATTTATTTAAAAATGTATAAAATTTATAAACATATATTTATTTATATCTATATATTTTTGCTAAATAATTTCTATGTCATTTTATAAAGAACTATCCATTTTATTTATTGTATTCATTATTTATAATGTTTTTCACTAAGTTAGATTATGTTATTTAATCACATTCAATTAAATTTACAAAAATATACATTTTATTTTTTATTCATAAAAAAAATGTTATTTTAATTTTAATTAATTAATGTATTTAAGTCCTTCAAAAATCTATCGATATCTTAATTATATAAATAAATATATTAATTTTATTTTATAATCTTATTAATTTTACTTTTATTTCTTATTTTTTTAATTGATCTCTTAATATTTTTTCGAATTATTCTTTTGATTGAGAAATCTGATTCTATCTATTAGTTTTTATATATTAAATGTATATTTATCAAACAATTTGTTTTAAATATATTTTATAAAATCATTATTTTCTATATTTAAATTATTATTTTAGATTTAATTTTAAATAAAAAAATTTATTTTGAATAAAATAGCTAATCACTAAGTGAAAAGGTTAAATCAACAAAATATTCAATTTTTTCAAAATTTCTTGCTTTATCAATCGATAAATTAAGTTTTTACCTTAAATCAAGTGTCAAACTTGTGATATTCTTGCACTACGCTATTCCTGTGCCTAAATCTTTTGCACCCTATGCACCAATACTACTTTACCTTTAAATATAAGAATAAATAATGAATTAAGAAAATAAATTTGGAGGAGAAAGGATTGTAAAAAAAGATTGTTGCTTTTGTTAGTATGTTCGTTTGTTTTTGAAGGAGTAAGTAACTCAGTATGTAAGTAAGTAAGTAATTAAGTAATTAAGTTAACAAATAGATTATTTTTTAGTTGAGGAGTAAGTAAGTTATTAAAAAAGCAATCTAATAAAAAAATAAATAACTAACTAACTCTAACTTGCTTACTAACGAAGTGACTTAATTAGCTAATCACTAAGTGAAAAGCGTAAATCAACAAAATAATCAATTTTTTCAAAATTTCTTGCTTTATCAATCGATAAATTAAGTTTTTACCTTAAATCAAGTGTCAAACTTGTGATATTCTTGCACTACGCTATTCCTGTGCCTAAATCTTTTGCACCCTATGCACCAATAAAACTTGACCTTTAAATATAAGAATAAATAATGAATTAAGAAAATAAATTTGGAGGAGAAAGGATTGTAAAAAAAGATTGTTGCTTTTGTTAGTATGTTCGTTTGTTTTTGAAGGAGTAAGTAACTCAGTATAGTAAGTAAGTAAGTAAGTAATTAAGTAATTAAGTTAACAAATTGATTATTTTTTAGTTGAGGAGTAAGTAAGTTATTAAAAAAGCAATCTAATAAAAAAATAAATAACTAACTAACTCTAACTTGCTTACTAACGAAGTGACTTAATTAGCTAATCACTAAGTGAAAAGCGTAAATCAACAAAATAATCAATTTTTTCAAAATTTCTTGCTTTATCAATCGATAAATTATGTTTTTACTATAAATCAAGTGTCAAACTTGTGATATTCTTGCACTACGCTATTCCTGTGCCTAAATCTTTTGCACCCTATGCACCAATACTATTCCAACTTTAAATATAAGAATAAATAATGAATTAAGAAAATAAATTTGGAGGAGAAAGGATTGTAAAAAAAGATTGTTGCTTTTGTTAGTATGTTCGTTTGTTTTTGAAGGAGTAAGTAACTCAGTATGTAAGTAAGTAAGTAAGTAATTAAGTTAACAAATTGATTATTTTTTAGTTGAGGAGTAAGTAAGTTATTAAAAAAGCAATCTAATAAAAAAATAAATAACTAACTAACTCTAACTTGCTTACTAACGAAGTGACTTAATTAGCTAATCACTAAGTGAAAAGCGTAAATCAACAAAATAATCAATTTTTTCAAAATTTCTTGCTTTATCAATCGATAAATTATGTTTTTACTATAAATGAAGTGTCAAACTTGTGATATTCTTGCACTACGCTATTCCTGTGCCTAAATCTTTTGCACCCTCATCACCAATACTATTATTGCTTTAAATATAAGAATAAATAATGAATTAAGAAAATAAATTTGGAGGAGAAAGGATTGTAAAAAAAGATTGTTGCTTTTGTTAGTATGTTCGTTTGTTTTTGAAGGAGTAAGTAACTCAGTATGTAAGTAAGTAAGTAAGTAATTAAGTAATTAAGTTAACAAATTGATTA